AGGTGACCTCATAGCAACGTTCCAGTTGATAAAAGGACTTAATCTGGATGTCGACTGGGAAACGTTTTTTGAAATGGCACCCAAGTCCAATCTCAGACGACATGATTACCAGCTTAAAAAGGAACTGTGCCACACAAATCAAGGTTCCTCCTTTTTCTCACAGAGGGTCATTCGCCAATGGAACTCTTTGCCGGAGTTTGTTGTTAATTCCCCTATCGTGAACGTGTTCAAGAGACAACTGGATACTCACCTGCTGAAAGGCAACCCAAACTGCCGAAGCCTGATCTAACGGATTATTGAAATGACTATAATATACTAATAACTAGATTTCAACAGATCCTATTTTTGCGTCAAACTTAGCCCATATTGAAATTTTCACAGTCCGAATGCGGTGAACAAAGTTTTTCGCAATTATTTTGCGAATATAATACCCCTTTCATCTTTATGTTACATTATTAGATTTATGAATTCTCCCTACTAAAACTGCAAGCAAAAGTTTTGCAGTTTAACTATTTTACTTTATACCTGTACCCTCTAAATGGAGTTATCATGGCTTCTGTCGTCTACTCCAAATATACTGACTGATACTGACTGATACCTTAAATCGAGTAGGCATTACAGCCTTACAATCAGAAAGCAGACAGGGAATGCAGGGGAATTACTGACGAGTCGAACCCCTCGCAACTGTGTCATGCAGCGGCAGAATATCGGCAAAACACGCGTGTATGGGTTTTGGCTATTACCTGTGCTGTTAGTATGGAATCACCTTAACCTGAAAAAAGTACAACTGTAGACACATTAACCTAGTTCATTCTGAGCTTCCACACGCCATAAACGGGCATACAGGAACTAATCCGCTCATGCTGGGAAGCCTATTCGATCTGCAGTCAACCAAGGATTCGAAGCGCATAAATGTGTACAATGAATCCTGAAGAAAACTTACAAAATAACTTGAAACCCTCGTACATGATGGGCGTTCCAGAGGCATCAATCGCCTCCAATTTGAGGTCACCTACATAGCAGTTGGGTAGGCCAGATGGACCGTTGTTGTAGCGTTGGAACCATCGATCACTGCCCACAAACTGTACACGTCCGCCCAAATTGCAAATCATATGCGCGACCGCCAGGTCCAGTCCCAAATGTTGAATACTCTCTATGGGAATCCTGTGCATGGAGATCACGACAAAAAATCGAGTAAAATTACATTTGACGACGTTTATTTCTGGCCAGCAGGCGCTTACGCGCCCTCTCGGCAAAGCCCTCCAGAGTCCAGTCATACTCATTGGTTATCTTCAAATGAAGACTAGTGAACTGGTCTCCCAACCATTCATTCGTATTATCCACCAGTCCACTGGGAACTTTCTTTATTGTACCATCGGGCTTTTTGATTTCAACGAACTGGTAGGACGGGAGGGAATAGATGAGAGGGAGACGAGTCTACCTTTTGTTTCACGTGAATCGATCTGGTGTAGCCGTCATATGGATCGACGGGTTTTCCGGAAAAGGACCGAAATGACGCGGCAAGGAGGCGTGGCCTTGTTAAGCCCAAAAGAAGCGCCGGCGTCACCCGCATCTGAAACAAAAGGGGGAGACTGTCAATCTCGATGATGATGATGATGGTGGTGGTGGTGGTGGTGGTGGTGGTGGTGATGATGATGATGATGATGATGATGATGATGATGATGATGATGATGATGATGATGATGATGATGATGATGATGATGATGATGATGATGATGATGATGATGATGATGATGGGTGACGTTAATTTGACCAGGATCGAACTGACCAGAAAGTTGTGAAAAATAGGTGGACAAAACAAAACGGGCAAGTTTAGGTGTAGTGTACATAATTCACTGGTCGAGAGGCCGCAGTGCCTGGAAGATGGAAAAACTCGTATTCTTGCCTTCTCAATATCAGGACTAAAACCCCATGCATCATTATGATTAGTATTCACTCCTGTCGAACCTGCCATTATTTGAACAGTTGTGCCCGTCTCGGCGGCCAACAATGCCAATCCGACAGGTGCAAAAGGTGACAGCGCCAAGTCAGTGTTGCACAGGTATACTGTCACACACTAAGTCGTCGTCGTCCGGCTGCAGTCGAAGGCTGCTGAGGCCGCTACCTATACTAGGTCTGACTGACAAGTTCGTCAATTTATGATCGGCTGCCAGGCCGGCAATACCAGTCTGGACAAGGTTTTAGGGGAGTGGCGTGGCTGACAGGTCCATCTTAGGGCCGAAAGAGAGGACGATCGGAGCGTCAGAGACTTACCATTAGACTACCAACGGGAGAGGAATCCGATTAGTGATGAAGCCCGGACTTCAGATATCGCCCATCGGAAGAAACCGCATGATTCTCTAGATGCACCAATTGTTAAACACCTCAATATCTCCTAAGTAAGCAACGCGCAGAGGGCATGCTTCACAAACTTATACCAGACTGGAGGTTAGACAATGGCAGAGCCAAAAACGACAGGACATTCTGTGTGAACATTAAAAGCGGTTATTTACGCCCTCCTTGCGAGACTTCACTAACAAGGCGATGTTCTGGAAATTGTTTAGATTAGAGGCGAAGGTATTTGTAAAACTGGGGGTCCTCGTAATCGTGTTGTGGGTGGAAAGCGGACAAATGAGCGGACAGACTTGTTAGAAACTAGAGGTGACAGAGTACTCGTTCTGTTCACAGTAACCCGAACATGTGTCGCAAAGTGAATATCTGGTCGACACAGTCAACACAAGGGCGCGGCCACCCCAGTTTCTTGCATCTCTGCAGGTGTGGAAGATGCTTAAGCGGATATTGGTGAAGATCTTGGTTATGATAAGGGTCGGTTGATGCCTTTGTAACCATGGAATCCCGTCTTCTCTCCTTCCCTGATAAGAGAGAACAAAATCGCTCCAGTCCTATAGGATTATCTTGGTGTGCCACACACTGAACTATCCTGAGCTGCTAATAAATAACAGTTAACTTCTTTTCAAATTCAAGTTGACAAATTTAGTTTATAAGGGCTTTCTTGACTGGTAGCCAAATTAGTGCTCTAATTTTGGCGGCAAATGGTAGCGCATAAGTCAAGTCAAAGGGGGAGGCACAGTATTCGTCAGAGGTGCTGGGCTTCAGACACAGATCCTCCTTATGTCAGCAGCATACGGGAGTCAGACTTCGCAGGCGAGTAGCTAGAAATTATGGAGCGCAGCCTTGTGGGCTAGGATCCTTGTCTTCTGTTAAACCATGCGATGTGACCACAGGCACTGTCAGAACGCGTTTTGTGAGAGCTGAAGGTTATGGATTATAACATCACACTGGCTAGTTGGCAGGATCGAGGGAATAACTTATAAAAAAACCACTCAGCAACCCCAAAACTTGTAAGAGGACGGGACAGTCCCTCGTGATTTGACCTGCATTGCATCGCAAACACGGAGTATAACAATACGTAGTTCGCTGAAGGGTTGCTTTTCATACGTAGGAACCCACTTTTTCTTAGAACGACCGTGATACTGTCTGATCTGGCTGGCCAAGATATCGCTAATTGCAACTAGATGACGGAGAAGGCAGTAACCAGTGGTCGTCACTGAAGACGTCAGTATGGGGCAGCTAAGAAAATCCATGGATATACCCAGCGACATCGCAGTGACTGAATCAGCGGAAGAACCCTGAAGTTGTCTGCTCAGACGGCTCGAGCCAGGTCCCGTAACGATGGCTGCTTCCGCCAACTTCGGAAGATGACGGTAAAATCGACCAGGGATGACCGGAAGCAATATTGAGCTGAAATAGCGACCTCCATGGAACAGGTCTCGAATGTTGGTGACACTCGAAAACTCTACCAACTTATCAGCCAGGTTAGTGGTAAGCCCTCTACACTTAGTGACTCAGTTCGCGAAGTGAATGGCGGCTTTATTGCTGATAGCTCGGCCAAAGTCGAACGCTGGCGTGAGCATCATCTGAATTTCGATACCCAACCCACCTCGCCCTTGCTATCCTCTGCAGCGGAGCTTCTTCCCTCTCCAACCTATGCAATGCCAAACGATACCCCTTCTGAAGAAGAGGCCGCTGATGCCATACGAAAGCTACGCGACAAGGCACCCGGAGAAGACAGTATACCCGCTGAAATCCACAAGTCTTGTGTCGAAACTCTGGCGCCCTGGCTCCATGACAAGCGTGAAAAAACGAGGTTCCTGATGGCTGGGGCTCAGGCATCCTTGGGCCTATCCCCAAGAAGGGAGATAAGACGAGATGCGAGAACTACCGCGGCATAGGTCTCATCGATGTTGCTGCGAAAATCTTCGCTATTTTTCCGCTCAGGTGATTCCAGGCTGTGTGTGACTCTAAGACGGGGCCCAATCAAGCTGGATTTCGTGCTGGATGTGGATGCACGGACCAGGTATTCACACTAAGGCGCATTATTGAATTTCGCTATAGCTACCAGCAACCGACGGCCGTCTGCCTCGTTGACTTTACCACCGCGTTCGATTCCGTCTATCGTGAGTCTCTATGGTGGATAATGGCACTAGATGGTATACTACCAAAAACCATCGTCACGATCAAGGCCTATTATCGCTCCACCACCGCGCGAGCCCTGGTCCGCAACAATTTTACCCAACCGTTTGGTATTCGGTCTGGTGTTCGACAGGGTTGTATCCTGCCGCCCATTCTGTTCAACTACGCTATTGACTGGATTCTCGGGAGGTCTGTACACGAAGGTGACGGGGCTGGATTTGCATCCGGACACCAACTGATTGACCTTGACTATGCAGATGATATTGCCTTACTTGCTTCAAGTTTTGGTGATCTGCAGTCTATGGTGTCACGGGTGAACGAGGTCGCTATGTCGGTCGGTTTATCCATAAACGCTGGGAAGACCAGTGTTTTCAAACTGCATCCCTGACCAGGAGAAGGCACCTCTCGGGATTGATGGCTGTCAACTTGAAGAAGTGGACAGTTTTAAATACCTCGGGCGGGGCTGCTGCCAAATGGCCAGAGCAAGGATGACATTGTTTCCCGAATTAATGCAGTCCAATTGGTTTTACCAAGCCTTAGAAAATGTCTGCGGATCCGACACGATCTCTCCGTCGCCATCAGGATTCGCGTGTACCGTGCATCTGTCTGGTCTGTCCTTCTCTATGGTTGTGAATGCTGGGCTGTGCGCGTGGAGGACGGGCGAAAACTGGAGGTATTTGACCGCCACTGCTTGAGGACCATCCTTCGAGTGAAGTATACCGACTTCGCCTCAAATGAGAAAATCCGCGCTCGCTGCGACAACATCGCAAGGAAAACCCAAGCCATCCAAGAAAGACGACTGAGGTGGTTCGAGCATGTTCTTCGTCGTCCACCTCAGGAGCTCAGTGATACTGCCCTCCATCAGGCACCGTTACCCCGTCGGAGGCGTGGAAGAGAGGGTCAACTCAAAACCTGCCTTGACACAGTTCGTCAAGACATGGAGGTGGTTCTTGGACATTCGGTATTCGGTCTCCGTCGTTGGAGGAGAATGGGTCGAACTGTCCAGATCTGCTGCCGCGGATCGTCACGCGTGAAGAGAAACAGTTCGGGACACCATCGAGGCCGTTTAGATCAGTCATGATCGCAGCCGTACCAAGTACAAGTAAGTACGAGTAATTGCATCTAGTTATGCGTGACGATGTGCAGTAGTGGGCGAGGAGGACTCAGGCTCTTCTACTCCCAGGCACGGAAACCGAGTACCAAAAATCAAAGAACTACTCCAATCTTTTGACGGACCGTGTTGAGTCAGATTCATAATAGATACTCTGACGTCTGGAGTAAGACGTTGGCAACGGACCAAGGGCAGCAACACTAAACTCACGCGATGGGTGACGGAGAACATACAGAAACAACCTCCGTCTGAGATAACATCGAGGTGTTCTCGCAGTGGGTTCAGTGAGTCTTATTTAGGACAAAGTCATGGTACTTCATTCGAATGATGGTCCTCAGGTAGCATTGATTAAATACCTCACATCTTTGCCACTCTTCTGCGAGCACAGTTTAGCATTAACAAACATGCAGGTGGGTTGATCGGATAGATACCCGGAAATGCGGATCTTTGTGACCGTGGGGATATCACGTCGGGTCCATTAGCACTTTCAGAGCTGGTGAGACTCAGTGGTCGGCATCGATTCGGGAGACGATGTCGCTCTCACTACGTCCACTTAGTAGGCAGTTAGCCTCGAGGAGTTTGGAGCTGTCCATTCCTTTAAAATAACAGTCACCAATCTCGAGGATGTTTTCTCCTGATATGAAATGCAGCTGGGGAACATTGTGACCTTCCCGACGTTGGTGAATAAACAGGATGACTTTGCGAGTCTATTCATCCGTGAAACTACAGCCAGTAGTTCATAACAGCTTTATGTTAGCAGGATGTTATTGTCAGCATTTTTGAGGTTAGTTAGCCCGCGCATCAGTGAAAAGTCGAAACTGAAAACCGAATAGGGAGATTCTGGGAATCCGGTCAATGGTGTAATTGGATCGGGCGAGCAACAGAATACAGCCTTATAAGACGTCAGATCGATTATCAAACGGCTGATGAAGACTATTGCAGACCAGAACGTGTGCAGCGTTGGTACGATAGAATATCTTGACCGCACGGCTACTTTTTGCCAACACACCATCTAGCTCCATTACTCGCCACAAGAAACTGAGATACGCATAATCGAACTTTGTGACGAAGTTAAGGAAGAAAACGGTGGTCGGTGAAGGGACAGCGAACGTTACGGCGAGGCACTGTTCCGTTGAAAGGAACACTGTCGGGGGGACCGTTGGGGACGTAATGTACCTTGAAACTCGGAAGTAAATAGCGGTATAACAGAAGTGGCCTCTTAGAAGCCGACTCAGCCGTGCTTTTTACAGAATTCAGACAGGTGAGACAAGCAAATCAATGCATAAAATGATTGTTTTAGTCAGTTTTCTAATGCGGTGTTCGCAGGTCCAAAAACAAGGGACTCGACATGATAAGAACAAAAAGTTCGTTTATTAAAAGATAAATTATAAAATCAAGCGAATAAATATTTAGATGCCATGCAGGCTAACAGAGAAACGGTAAATTTGGAGAAAAGTGCAGTCACCTATATCTCACTGCGGCCAGCCTTTGACTTTTCCGATTTCATTTGAAAAGGTTAAAACAAATTTGAGAAGTTTCTGCTTATGCAGACGACTAAAACAGAAAACAATGCTATATAAATATTTCGATGCTTTTCTGACAGAGTTCGTACACACATCAAACCCAGGCCAAAGTTAATGAAATCTTCGCCGAGATCTCTAAGATGACTTAAGGGATGTCGGACAGCAGCGCTTAGCGAAAATGTTGCTGAAATGATACAACAGCACATTACGTACCTGGTAGCCATAAACTTCTAGAGATCTCACTGTTTTTGTGCCTCGATCTTTTAGTCCTTGAAGCCCAGGGTAAAAGGCATATGCCTGGAAGAAATTCAGAAATTAGTTTTGCTACTTCGTTGACGGCGTAAAAATAGACTTCGATGTCGAAAAAGGAATTTTCGGATTTCGAGTATGGAAACACACGAGGCATATGGGAATCCTTGGGCCAATTGCAATTCGAAGGATTATTGTCATCCGGGCATCTACACGCTGCATGTCAGCCTCTCCTACCAAACCCGCGCGTGTGCCAACAATTAGTATGACGTTGGTCTATGCGTAACCTTCCGGCATGAGCAAAAATGGACAACTGAGCATCAGTTAAAGGATAAGAAAGAGCAGTTGTATCCGAAAGGATCTGTTTGACACGTTGGAAAGCATCCACGGCTGTGTCAGGAAAAGAAAATTCACGGTTATTGCCTCGTAAAAGATTTGTGAGGGGTAACATTAGTTGAGCACAGTGAGGGACGAAACGCCAGTAAAAATGACAATACCTATGAAACAGCGCAATTTTCGGAAAGAAATAGGGGCAGCGAACTCGCGGATAGCTTAAAATTTAGCGTCAATGGGATGACAACCGAAAGCACCTACGCGATGTCCTAGGAACAAAAGCGGGGGAACGCCAAAAACGCACTCCGGGGCATGAATATAAAAGCCAAATTAGTTCAATTGCTCAAAAATTCGAGGTATATGTTGTTAGTGTTGCTGTTCACTAGAATCTGCATCTAGGAGATCATCGACATAAACAGAAACGAAGGGCAAGTCGTGGAGGGCCTCGTTAACGAAATGTTAAAAATTTTTGGCGGAGTTACGGAGTCCAGAAGGCATCCTGACGAACTCGAAAAGACCGAATGAAATCGTAATCGCCGTTCATGGAATGTCTGCTGGAGCAACGGGTATTTGGTTGAAGGCTTTCACTAGGTCAATTCTTGAAAGTATTGTTGCTCCGGCTAAGCTAGAGAAAAAGTCATGAAGGTGGGGAAGCGGATATCTGCCACGGACAGTGCAGATGTTTGATCGTCGGTAATCACCGCATGGACGCCAATCCGTGAGAGACTTTTTACAAACCATGTGCAGGGGGCGGCCCATGGACTAGCGGATGGTAGAACTATGTCAAGTTCCATCATAAGACTGAATTCGGCCTTGGCGATAGCTAACTTGTCAGCCGCTAAACGACGAAGTCGGCTAAACACGGGTGGTTCCGTAGTCGAAATACAATGCATAACGGAATGTTTGGTAGGCTGGTCAAACTGCGAAGGCCGGGTGATAGATGGAAATTTGGGAAGCAAACTTTGATAGGGAGTGGACGAAGGAATTGTTGGAATGCATGGGCTAGAGGATTAAATGATACGGATTAAGCAAGTAAAACACAATGATGTCAAATGTCTTAAGGCAAAATAATTTACGGGACCTGATATCAACGAGTAGACCGAAAAACGATATAAAATCGGCACCGAGAATGGCGGTATGAACATAAACAATAGTAAATATCCAGTGGAAAGTACGTCGTAATCCAAGGTCTAAAATTCGGCATCGTTGACCAAAGGTTTTAATGGCGGTACTACTGGCTGGCTAGATAAAAATTAAGGAGTTAGGTGACTTATGGCGAGAAATGTATGGACTTTGAGGGCGAGAAACACGTGAAGTACGAAGCTGGCAAACTTCAAGGGTAAGGTCGTCTAGGCGTTTTATGGCATCGTCGATTGTGGTCGCAGTTGTGCTTCGACTAGCGATGTTAACCGTAACACGAGGCTGGTTGTACTCGAGTATACGGTCAGCAGTCTCTGCGAGTATCTGAACAGTCGAAGATGGAATGTTAGGCGCAAGGCTGGCTTGTACAGGAGGCAAAAGTTTGGGAAAAAGTAACTTAAACATGGTGGCATCCCGCTTTTGTCCCTCTGCCAACTGCTATAAACGACTAAGAAGCTGCGTATGCTTCCTGTCACCAAGGTCCTTCTCAGAAATTAAACGTTGCTGACGTTTTTTCGTTGACAGGGAAATGCGGAAAATGAGAGTCACCTTTAGGGCAGTATAAGGTGCTTCTGTGGGCGGGCAATCAATGATGTCGCGGAGGTCGATGACGATGTCCATTGGGAGTGCTGCCACAACATAGTGAACTTCCGTATCCTCTCGTGTAATCTGACGGAAGGCGAAAAGGGACTACACAGTGCGCAGTCACAACGCGATGTCACTAAGCCACACGGTTGGCAGGTCAAAGGTGTGAATCCCGGCTATCGGCTGGCTGGTAGAATCGTTGGACATAATAAGCCGATGTCGGTCAGAGGTCAGATAACTGGGGTAGATGACTGGCGTGTTGGCAGTGAGATTGAAGGGTGCGCTCGTATTGGATGGAAAGGTGAGACAGCGTGGATAGCAAATAAGGGCTAGATAAATAATCTGATCGATAAAAAGTAGAGTGAAGATTAATCCGAATGGAAATAGTTATGCAGAGAAATGAAACAGAAGGACCTACGAACGATACAGTGTCACCAATGTAAGTGA